AATTTTTTAATGTTTATTTATTCTTTGAGAGAGACAGAGACAGAGTGCAAGCAGGGGAGGGGCAGGGAGAGAGGGAGACACAGAATCCGAAGCAGGCTCCAGGCTCCGAGCTGTCAGCACAGAACCCAACGTGGGGCTCACACCCACAAACTATGAGATCATGAATGACCTGAGCCAAAGTCAGATGCTTAACCGACTAAGCCACACAGGCGCCCCTATTTTTAGTTAAAATTTTTTTGTTATAGTCATCCTGGTAGGTGGTCTTTCATTGTGGTTTTCGTTTGCTACCCTTAGTCCAATTTTATTATGTACCCCCACACACACACACACACACTGTCCTCCACATAATGGGACCAGTAGACTATGGCAGCTGCTTAAGAGCCCAAGCTTTGCCGTCAGACTGGCTTGGATTGAATCGAGGCTCTGCAATTAATGGTCATAAGACCTTGGGCAAATTTCTTAACCTCCGTGAGTCAATTTTTCCGATCACGTCCTACAGATACAATAACACTGTACTTCATCCTTATCTAGTGAGGACTAAATGAGACATTGAACGTGAAGTACCTAGCTCAGTGCCTGGCACATAGTTCTCAAGAAGAAAGGAGCTGTTATTATGTGACTTATGACTTTAAAATTTCCCTCCCCCAGTTTCCCATGCTGATCATCTGTAAAGCAACCAGGGCAAGTAGCAAAAGAGAAGGAAAATGCACGGGCTGTCTATAGAATTTATTCCCAGAGTCTGAGAGTCCTCCAAAAGCCACTTTACCTGTGGTCATTGTGGGATCTCCTGGAGCAACTTCATCAGAGTTCGCCCTGTGGGAGTTTCATACCGCATAAAAATGACACTGCTGATCACCTAACACTTTCAAAGTCACGATCTAACCAGGTGACCTCCTCATTTACATGTGGTGCTCTGGGTTTAACACTGCAGCATGACATTTAACTGGACTGTATTTTCATTTAACTCAGTGCTGCTCACGGAGCTACGTTCTGGATAGTCTGTGGGCAGACACACTGCCTCCTCTGAAAGTGACGTCTGTCATTTCCCAGCACAACAGTTAGCTCCCTGTTTCAAGCGGCGCTAGTGACACAAAAGTCTTTACCTAGAGAAAAGATTCTCAAGGCTAGCTTGACCAGCTCATGTTACACAAAATCCACCATTTTCAGAATTAATCCACTGAAGGCTCCGCACAGCTTGATTCCGGTGTTTAAGGAATTGTCCGCCGTTCGTGTCACCACATTCTTCTTTGATAAAAACCGTCATGGGCAGATTCTGTAGTTCACCTGATGCACACACTATCTGAGCTCATCAACATAAACACTTCCCCACCACTCTCGGTCTAGGGCGTAGAATCACATGGCGACAGCATCCCTATGCTGGGCGACTAGCCTCAAAGCGCAGACACAGCGAGCCCCAGCGTGCTGCGACCGGCAAAGCCAAATCCGTCTCGAATACCTGACACGTAACCGATTCCCACATAATCTATTATTTTGCAAGAATATTGTGGCCAGTGTAGTTTCCAGAAGTCCCAAGTGTCCATCTTCTTGGTCCTATTTATGTTCCTGTGGTTCTGAAAGTCCTTGTGAATCAGCACAGGATTTGTAACAGTTGCACACGAAGTCTGAGGAAGATTTGCAACATTAATTCGTATTATTTTTTTTTTATTTTTTTATTAAAAAAAAATTTTTTTTTCAACGTTTTTATTTTATTTTTGGGACAGAGAGAGACAGAGCATGAACGGGGGAGGGGCAGAGACAGAGGGAGACACAGAATCGGAAACAGGCTCCAGGCTCCGAGCCATCAGCCCAGAGCCCGACGCGGGGCTCAAACTCACGGACCGCGAGATCGTGACCTGGCTGAAGTCGGACGCTCAACCGACTGCGCCACCCAGGCGCCCCCCGTATTATTTTTTTTTATGTTTGATTTATTTTTGAGAGAGAGAGAGGCAGAGAGAGAGAGAGAGAGACAGCGCGAGCAGGGGAGGGACAGAGAAAGAGGGAGACACAGCATCCGAAGCAGGCTCCAGGCTCCGAGCTGTCGACACAGAGCCCGACACGGGGCTCAAACCTACGAACCGTGAGATTGTGACCTGAGCCGAAGTCAGAGCCCCCATGTTGGGCACAGAGCTTACTTAAATAAATAAATGAACATTTTTAAGAAAAGAATGTTAATATTGGTTCTTTACTAAAATCAACAAGAAGGACATTGAACCTCAGAATTGCAGAGGTTTAAATTTCTGTGAAAAATATTTAATGGAATTTAATTACATTTCAAAAATAAAAAGCCTCAGATATATTTAAGTAATTTTAGATATTTGACATGTATCAATTATAATTTTATTTTAATAACTTTAAAGCTTTTAGTAGAATAACTTTTCAAAAACAAAAAATAATTTGAATTGAAAAATTCTGCATATTCACATTTACAATTTACATCACACGCATATAAAGTCTGTGTTGAGTACAATTATATTTTATTCTTTTACTCCTTCAAGTCAGTACTGTCAGCAAAGCACGGATTATGTGAAGTTCTCAACAAGTGAAATGAAGGCAAGAGAAAGAAATTGTATGGAGGAAACAGTAATTTACGAGTTATGTGTCTTCACCACCCATTTAAACATTTCCAGACCATCAGAGTACATTCAGGCATCTGCAATAATTAAATTCAGTCAGCATTGATATTTTCCCAACTTGGTCACATAGAAACAATACTATTTTTTTTATGGGGCGCCTGGGTGGCGCAGTCGGTTCAGCGTCCGACTTCAGCCAGGTCACGATCTCGCGGTCCGGGAGTTCGAGCCCCGCGTCGGGCTCTGGGCTGATGGCTCGGAGCCTGGAGCCTGCTTCCCATTCTGTGTCTCCCTCTCTCTCTGCCCCTTCCCCGTTCATGCTCTGTCTCTCTCTGTCCCCAAAATAAATAAACGTTGAAAAAAAAAAAAAAGAAACAATACTATTTTTATTTTGTTCTTTTGAAGACTTCTCTGTTGGAGTAGAAAAACAGAACACATTTAACACGTCTTCCGCTTGATTTGCCACTCTTACATATGATACGGTATGCGAGCGCCATTTCTACACCTGCTCTAGGCCCCGCAAACGTCGGTGACAATATTGAGAGGCACGACGCAGGCATTCAAGAAACCTTTGCCGAATGAATCAATGAATGAATGAATGGGTAAATGAACAAACGACTTTGTTAACTCCAGTCTCATAGTCTGCCTCCCTCTTCATGACCTAACGTTTTCCTCCCCTCTCCCTTGTGAGATCATGCTGGTGGGTGTATCCCGGCCTAAGTTTTACACTTTCCCTTCCGTGCGGCTCACATAAGATGCTTTTGTGCTGGTCGCTAACGTTTACATAGATTATGCCAATCATACCTTCCAACAGCCTCTGTCCCTACTTTACAGATGAGAGGACCGGAGCACGGAGAACCCGGGTAGGCTGCCCAATGTCACCTGGCCGGGAAGGAGCAGAGAAAAGGTTCAGACCTGGCTGGCTGGCTGGCTGGCTCTGGAGCCCTTGCTCTTAACAAGGACTCTTCACCGTTCTGTGCTCAGTACCCTTCAATCCTGTGGACTCTATGCTTGTGGACCCCTCATGGAATTCGCTTCTTAAGTTTGTAAAATATAATACAAAGGACGACAGAGGAAACCAGTTGTTTGGAAATCTACCCACCAAATATTTAAAAAGCCAACTTGTCTGGATGGCTCAGTCGATGGAGTCTCCGACTTTGGCTCAGGTCATGATCTCGCGTGCGTGGGTTCGGGCCCCGCATGGGGCTCTGTGCCGACAGCTCAAGAGCCTGGAGCCGGCTTCGGATTCTCCCTCTCTCTGTGCCCCTCTCCTGCTTGCTCTCTGTCTCTGTCTCTCAAAAAATAAAATAAAACGTTAAAAAAAAGTTTTAAGTCAACTTGCAATGTATGGTAATAGATGGATTCCTTCATTAAGACATAACCTGTCCTAATTACAGATTAATCATGAGTGTAAATGGTATTTTTGGTTATCTGCAATAACCATAACGTGATATGAAAATAACTGATTTCTACTGGTGCAATATCATAGATTCCGCTCCCTTGGCTATGCTCCGAGGATTTTTAAATTCAAAAAACATTTTTTTTATGTTTATTCATTTTTGAAAGACAGAGAGAGACAGAGCACAAGCAGGGGTGGGGCAGAGAAGGGGGGGGGAAGCAGAATCCGAAGCCGGCTCCAGGCTCCGAGCTGTCAGCACAGAGCCCGACCCGGGGCTCAAACTCACGAACTGTGAGATCACGACCTGAGCCGAAGTCGGATGCTCAACCGACTGAGCCACCCAGGCGCCCCTTTTTTTTTTAAAGAAATTTTTTTTCTTTATGAGGATTTTTAAATTCAAGATTGAGGGAAATACTAGATTTCTGCTAGAGGTTAGTGAAAATAAAAGATGTGATTTTCCCTGTCCAGCTTCATAGACCCCTGAATGTTATCTGTGCCCCGGGGCATCTGAGGACCCCAGGATCACAACCTCTATGCACAAGGCCTCCTTGCTGCCTTTCATGTCTTGTGTTGAGACAGACACTCAATGCTTGGTTTTAGCTCTGGGAATTTGCTCTTCCTTTCTTCTTTCGAATCTTTATACAGATCCTATGGCTGCACCTTAAGGCAAAAGGTCCCTCTGTACAATTTGTATCCCTCACCATCCCCATCAAGATGGCACATTTTTATGGTCTATCACTTCCCGTGTTCCTCTCCTATGGGCCCTTCGCCAATGAATTTAGACAGGTTGCAACCCTGACAAATCAATGTCTTCGAATAATAATAGCCAGTACTTGTCGGTTGCTGCCTGCGTCGCCGATGTTCTACTCAGCACACTAAACACGCAGCCTCTGAACGAGTCTACAAGGCAAGAGCTGCTGTTACTCTTCTGATGTGAAAGAAACAGAAGCTGAGAGAACTCAAGTGACTGAGCCAAGCGTTAATGGTGGCACCAGAGTGTCCACTACGGACCAACGTTCCAGCTTCATCTCTGTGACCTCCTTTGATCCTAACTCTATGAAGTGAGGGCCCTAACTCATATGGGGATCCTGAGGCGTGAGGGTCGGGGAACATCGTTCAGGATCATCCAGCTAGCACGGAGGGAGCTGGGCTTAAACGCAGACAGGCTGGAATTCGAGCACATGCATTTTCTCAGCACACCAGACAGCCACCTTTAGAGCAAGGAGACGCCAAGGCCTGAGCCTAGGTGTTCTCATTCCCAGGCTCCCTTAACATTTGGCCAACGGCTCTGACTAACCCGGGAGCTGCTCATTCCTGTGAATGAACACAAAGATATTTGACTCAGCAACGGAGCCTGAGACTGCCGACGTAGTGGTTTGCGAGCTGAGTCGGAAACCACATCTGATCTGATCTCATCGATGTGAAGGATTGCCAATAAACTGACAGTCAATTTCAACCTCGAGAAATGTGATGAAGGCTGGAACCAATAGCAGCCACGTTTTGGAGGAAGCTAGGTTAACTTTTCAAAATTTAAGAGCATGGAACCAAAGCTTCTTAAGTAAGCAAGTGGTCTGCATTTGAAAATTCTACTGGAGAGAGATAGCTGCCACAGGTCACTTAGAGGGAAATGTTTTGTGGCCTGCAGCTGATAACTATGATGAAAGAAAAGTCACCCCAACAAGCAAGGTTATCCTGAAGCTTATGACTTTCAGCTGAAAGCCAGCTTCTGCCTGTGGAGTACTGGCCTCCTCTCCCTAGCGTTCCCCTTAGCCCTGGGGAAGGAGAGTGCTTCTATAAAATTAACAAATACACAGACACATCCAACTATTTCCTAAGCTCGACTTCTGTCAACTGATATACAAGTATTTTTCCCCCAAACCAAAAGCAAGACAGCATCAGAAGATGGATTTTCTTTCCTTTTGAACTTTTTAATGGTGATCAGAATTGTCTCCCAAATGATTCCACTCACACGTCAACCCATATCTTCCTTCACAAAATCTGCCTCCTTTTCTTCCGGAATTTCCATTATCATGGAGGGCCACTTCATAAACCATTGGTTTTCACTAAGATTTTCGGGGGCGCCTGGGTGGCTTAGTTGTTAAGCATCTGACTTGGGCTCAGGTGATGATCTTACGTTTGTGAGTTCAACTCCCACTTCGGGTGAACGTGAGCCCTGCTTCTCTCTCTCCCTGCCCCTCTTGGGGTTCTCCCTCTCTCTCTCTCTGCTCCTCACTCACTTGCTCCCTCTCTCGAAAAAAAAAGAAAAAAAAGATTTTTTGTCCATTCGATAACGCTGCACTAAATGAGAGCTCCAACATACCTGCGCGTAAGTTGTGGGTACTTAGGTACGCCTACTAGATCTATACCACTCAAACAATTTCCAAGTTTCATTGTTACTGTCATTAAATTATTCTCTGTCCCTTAGCAATTCAATAAATTCAACTCACAAGCATCTACTGAATGTCTGATGCAAGTGTGCCCAGGACCTGATCTGTCACTTCTCCTGCTTTGTGTCCTGCCCCTCCCTCAAGCCGGCCTTCCCTGCCCCTCTCGGACGGATGGACCACACTCCCACTCCTGGGCCTTCGCTGCTCTCTCGTCTCAGATCCTGCCCTCTCACTTTCTAGGTGACTTGTCGCCTCATCTTACCCAGGTCTTCTCCTCTCTAAAAGAGCACCACCCTGTGATTCTCCATCTCCTCTCCCTTGTACTTGCCTTCCTAGCACATATCGCCACCTGGCACCCACAGTCATCCATGCAATTGCTGACTGTCTTCTCGCACTCTCATGGACATCAGCTCTATCATAGGGGAGGGGTTTTTTTCACGGCTGCGTCCCGGACACCCAGAGCAGTGCTGGGCACAGGACAGGCACTCAATAGATGCTTCGTGAGTGAATTTTGCTGCCTTGCGAGGCATATCTAGATAGGACACCATCCCAACAGCCTTCACAGCCTAGAGAGGAAGGAAGGCGTTTATACCCATAACCAAGATAAGGCCGTACAGCCTTACAGATTCTGTAATAGGAGGACAAAGTGCTGTGGGAATATACCTTCTCCTGGAGCGCTTGACAAGGGAACGGGGTTTTGCAGGATGGAGAAAGGCTTGAAAGGGTGGCGTGGGAAGCAGATGGCATTCCAGTCAGAGGGAACTGCTTTATGCCAAAGCATGGAGGAGGTAAAGTACAGCGCATGTTCAAGGAACAGAAAAAATGAATGAGGGAGAGTAAGGTAAGAACGTGAAAGGTTTGGAAGATGTTTGAACCCCAGTGTGGAGGGATTTGAACGCATGAGCATACCTTCTATTGACTGTCATCTCCTACATAGGCGCGCACGGCCGAAGCCAGCGGATCCACAGCACTGCGCGGGCGTGCCAAAGCTTGCCAAAATGTGTTCACCGTGGGTGCCCCCACGTGCACTAAGTGGGCTAGAGAAAAGAAAGGGATGCAGGATACAGTCAAAGGGCAGGAGCAAGGAGTCAGAAGGTTCTGCTACATTCACACGTGTACTGCTGGGAGGAGTAGCTGATCCCTTTGACCAGTGAGAGAAACGTCGGCGTGGCTCCCGGATCACCGTGATCCCAAGATCACTGGAATCTGCAAACACTGCAGCAGAACAGGACTAAAGCACCGCCGCAGGGACCAGCCACGTTTCAATTCCTCTGAGCTCTTTTTTTACGTAAGATCTCACTAGGTCCTCACCAAACTAAGGGCGGGCATTCCTATTCACGTCTTACAAACGGGGGGTGTTTGAACGCTTTTGATAACCCAGTACCGAAGCCCCAATCAGACCCTACTGTCTCTTCCAGCAGTAAGATGCCAGTTAAGAGCAGAGCAGTGTTTCCCACCAAGACCCGGAGAGACGTGAGAGCAAACGAGGCGAGCGCGGCACAGCCTCGATTCCGACGCCGGGCTCCGCAGATCCTCCCCCAAAGCCAAGGCGGAGCCCTCTGTGACCCCGCGCGCCCGCTGGCGTCCGCCACCGGAACCAATCTGAGCTGAGGAGGCGGGAAGGGTGAACTTCCTGCCTCGCCTACGCGGGCCGCAACCTTCCCCGGAAGTTCGCGGTGTCGCAAGGGTGCGACGGTGACCCCCACCGTGTCCGGCGGGTCGCTCAGATACTTCCGCCCGCCCACGGGGAACGGGACGCGCGACCTGGACCTCGGACCCGGCCGGCCGCCCCGCCCCCTCGCGCAGCGCCCCGCCCACTGCGGCGCGGCCCGACCAATCCCGGGCGCCGGCCGCCGGCCGCGGGCCTGACGTCACTGCGGGCGGGCTGCTGACCTCCGGCTCCTGGCGGGCAGTGGGATGGGTGCCGGGTGGCCCACGCTCGGGGGGCTTTCACACCGGGGGGGGAGCAGAGGCGAAGCCACCCCCCCGGGCCCTTTGCAGGCCTCGGTGTCAGAATTTCCCCCTTGCGCCAGCGCTGCCTCAAATGTCAGGACTCGCCCACTCTTCTCCTGTTTCGCCGACCTAACCTTTCGGGGGCTCGGAGGGGAAATTCGCCGTCTCTGCCGGACGTCTCCGGAGCTTGCCCCGAACCATCCTTCAGTGGATGTTGAAAAATACATTCGTTGAACTCCGCAAATGGCTTCCTTCCACCCAGTAACTCCAGTTTAGCGCCCTCGCCCTTTTTAGTGAACCCAGGAAACGGATGGAAAGAAAGTTACCTTATCCACTGTCCATAAAAGTTCCTGTTCGCTGTGCGGTGAAATGAATTAGACGTGGAGACTAAGATTAAAATAGGGATCAGAAATTGGTTGGAGCCACGTTGTTAACTGTAGTGTTGTATTACAAAGTGTTACCCTACAGCGATAGTCAAAGCAAGGAACATCTAGGTGAAGTTAAGATAATGCTTAGCAAGTATTGAGCGCCGGTTGTGTGCCAGGGACTGCGATACATGCTATGGACCGAGACAGGAAGGTCCTACTGAGTTCACAGGATTAGAGGAAGGCACATAATAAGTAAACAAAAGACAAAATGCTAAATAGGTACTATCAGTGACATAAAAGATACATTCACATTAATAGAAAACGAGTCTTTTACTGAGATGAGATGCGAAATATGAGGCATGAAAACCTGGCAGCAGTTTCTTTGCTATTTATGGTGATCAGGCTAATTTGGGGGAGAGTTGTTTTTTGGAATTAGGATCAGAATGGCCACTGGTGGCCTGTTAACGTTGGGCAGGCGAAAGTTTTGCCTCCTTAGGCTCTCTGGCAGAGCCTGAGAACTAAATTCACAAAAAAAAGGTTAACAGGACAAAAGTACACAAACTTAGTGTGTTACATGACCCAGGGGCTTTCATGAGAAAATGACACAAAGAAGGGACAAAAGCTAAATGTTTACATACGGGGTTGAACAATTGTGGCTATTGTGGCAAAGCAACTAAAATAAAACAGGGAAGGCTCAAGGAAGTTATTTTAAGGTCTCTGTGTGAAAATTCTTCCAGACTCAAGTTCCTCTCTGATGAGGTTTCTTTCCTCCTGGTGCTGGGATTTCACCTTCTGCTTTCAGGAAGAAAAAATGGGAAGCTGAGCACCTTTCTTGCACCTGTTGTTTACAAAAATGCCTGTAACTCGGGGTGCCTGGGTGGCTCAGTCAGTTAAGCGTCCGACTCTTGACTTTGGCTCATGTCATGGTCCCACAGTTTGTGGGCTTAAACGGACACTGTGGAGCCTGCTTGGAATTCTCTCTCCCACTCTCTGCCCCTCCCCGACCTGTGCTCAAATGCTTTCTCCCCGTCTCAAAAGAAATAAAGTTAAAAAAATTAAAAAAAACAAAAAAACAAAAAATGCCTTTAAGTCAAAATAATGTGCCAACGTGACATATTTGGAGATAGCATGTCCTGAACTCCGTCACTAACATTATCGACATCATTTCTCCATTGTTGGATTTTGAGCTCAGCGAGGCGGAACAGTATCTTTTAATTAAATGTTGCAACTGCTGTAAGTTGAAACTGATTTTAAGCTCCTTGAAAACAGCCAGTCCTTTAGTTGGTATTTGTGCATAAAGACTTGTCAAATACTGAATAAAAGAAGTGAATAGAATGAGGTTTTTCTGCCCAGAAATAAAGGACTTAATTAGGAGTCCTCTTCGCTACCAGTAATAGAGCAATTATTTTTTTGTGAATGGTTTAATTTTTTTTTGTTTTATTCTGCAAATGTGTGATGCGAAATAGGTATGAACTAGAAAGTTAAGAGAGTGTCATGAGTGTTGTGGACCTACTAATACTGATAAGAGTTTATGGTGGCAGAGTGTGAAATTTGGTATGAGAATTTAACCAAGGTTCTGCAGGACCTTTTACAGTCATTTCACCCCTCTGGACCCTCAACCTCTGCATCTGTCAAATGGAAAGTATGTTTTCCAGGAAGTCAATATACAATGTCTAAAACCAAGAAGGAGAAACAACAGTATTAGAGTATTATTTAAAAATACAGTTGGCTCTCGGAAAAATACAAGGGTTAGGGGCACTGACACCCCCTGTCCCCTTAGGCAGTCAGAAATGCACATGTAACTTTTGACTCCGGGGAAGACTTAACTGTTTGTTTTTTTTAACAATTCCTTTTTTAAAAAAAATTTTTTAACGTTTATTTTTGAGACAGAGAGAGACAGAGCATGAACGGGGGAGGGTCAGAGAGAGGGAGACACAGAATCTGAAATAGGCTCCAGGCTCTGAGCTGTCAGCACAGAGCCCGACGTGGGGCTCAAATTCACGGACTGCGAGATCTCGACCTGAGCCGAAGTCGGACGCTTGACCCACTGAGCCACCTGGGTGCCCCAAGACTTAACTGTTAATAGTCTACAGTTGATGGGGGAAACCTGATAACAGTCAGTTAACATATTTTGTTTGTTACATTTTATATGTACTGTAGCCTTGTAATAAACCTAGCGAATACAAAATGTTAAATCATTAGAGAAAATATTTAGAGTACTGAACTGCGTCCATTGAAAAAAATCCGAGCACAAGCAGACGCACGCAGTTCACGTGTATGTTGTTCGAGGGTCAACTGTATTCACAGAACTACAGGAAATAATTTAAGGAGGTGAAAATATTTGCCTCTGGAAAGCAGGGCTGAGGGGTAGGAAGGCCTGAGTCAGAAGACTGCTGTTTTTCATTATAAATCTTTTAAAGTTGAATCACTGAGCTGAGGTGTAACAAAATCTGAGCTATTGGGCACCATTTGGCTACGGTGACTCCTTCAGGTGCAGGTGCGGGTTGGCCGAGGCAGCTCTGTTCCACCTGTGTTCATTCTGAAACCCGGGTTGAAGGGGCAGCAGCAGCCCTGGAGGAAAGCTCTTCCTACGGCAGCGGAAAACTCCTAGAGAGCACGCCTGATCAGCAGGTCAGTGCTTTTCAGAACTTTCATCGGGCCTCGTCTGTTGACATTCTATTAGCGAAAACAAGGGCAAACGCAAAGTCAACGGGCAGGGAGTATCCCCCACTCATGCAGGTGAAAGAGGAGAGAGTGAACATTTCTAAAAGATAATCCAATCTACCAAAAGTAATACTGTAGTTGTGAACGCTGTGTGTGATGTATTCATTGGATAAACACTGATACTGACCCAGGTCGATTTCAGATCTTGTTGGTGATGCAGATGTCTCAGGAGTGCTCAGTCAGGTTCATTCCCTCTTTCCCTTTAACTAAAACCATCTGCCTTTCCCTTTTTCTATCCTACCTCGCACGGCAGCAGGCCACCGGCATGGATGTCTCCTTACTGTCTCCCCATGCTACGGGGACTGGAACCCAACAGCCCGTCTTCTCTTGGGTCTTCCTCCAACTACCTAAAATCCCACCTTTTTGAAACACATCTGACCACTTGCCTCTCTTTCCCCACCATACTCAAAACTAAAAGCAGGTGGCTTTTGCCTGCTTCCTTGGCAAATAGTCAAAGATGAAGTCATTCCAGAACTCCCCAAATGTCTTTTTCAAATGCCAAAAGATTAAAGACAGTCAAAAATTTTTGCACAACGCAGTGGTGCATGAAGAAATCTACTTACAATTCTTAAAATTAAACAAAAACCGTGCTCACCACCATTGTAAGGATCTCATGAAACCTATTCAAGTGCTTTGTAAACGAACGAAGGCATGTAAGTTATTTCTTGAAAATAATCATGTTTTTAACATCTAAACTGAAATGTCAAGAACCTGACATACTTAGAAGACTGAGCTCACCCATTACTGGTGAGAGTGCTAGGTGACTCACTCAACTTGCATGGAGTTGCTCCAGTGTATTTACACTTCTGAGAATTTCCTCTCCAGTTTCACCTGCACAAGTAGGACATATAAATAAGGTTATTCAGTGCAGTGCTGTCTGTACAAAAAACAGCTGGAAATAACCTAAGTCTTATCAGTAGGGCATCGGTAAATAAACTGTGGGACATTCCACAATGGCATACTATCTGGAAAAAAGAGAGGAAGTTCTTTTTGATAAGGAAAAATCTCCACCACATTCGTTTAATAAGCTGGTGGCAGTACGAGGTGAAGGACACAATATGGATAATCTGCTACATTTCCATGAGAAAGAAGTAAAAGTGTATTTGCTTATGCTTGCATAAGGAAACACTGGAAAGATGGCCAGGAAACGAATACAAGGTTACCGGTAGGCAGCAGCAGGGATGGAACCACATGGGGACAAGGCTGGGAGTCCATCTGTTCAATGTAACTTTGATCAACTTGGTTTTTGAAATGGGTTAAACCGTCAGCATTCAGGTGCGCCTGGGCGGCTCTGTCGGTTAAGCATCTGGCTTTTGGTTCTGGCTCTGGTCATGATCCCATGGTTTAGGAGTTCGAGGCCCGCATCAGGCTCAGGCTCTGCCTGACAGTGCAGAGCCTCCTTGGGATTCTCTCAAAATAAATAAAAACTTTGGGAAAAGCGTCAGTATTCAATTCATATTTGTAAAAACGAAATCTGAGATTGTAACTTAAACAGATGTCATTAAAGGGACTGTCAGATCACTGTGCTCAGCAGGGCTCCACACCCTGGGATCTTTAGAAAAAAAGAAGTTTCGAGAAACTAGCACACGTGAAATTACCGCATGCAAATAATGCTAAGAGTCGCCAGAGACCGAGGACCTGCAGCCCGCCCT